CCCCCTCCCACACCCTCTCTTTCGCCTTCCTCTCAATTCCGTCGTGTGTCTTTTTGCTTACACGTGCATTATTTAACTTTCTTTGTATTCACACTAGATCTAGAATACGTGCACGTGATCTGTTATTAACGTGCAAGCTTTTTATTTTAAATTTCTTTCGTAGGTTTGTTTCTTACTGCTCCCGCCTTATACACAAACAATTCCTCTTCTATCTATCTATCTATCTACCTGTTTTGTTGGTGTGGGTGTGTGTGTGCGCGCGGGCATGCATGCGTGCGTGCATGTGCGTTTGTGTGCGCCCGTGCATGTATGTGTGCCATTCCTCTCGGCCGTTTCTTGTCCCTTTTGCTTTCGCGCAACACACATGCCGGGACAAACACACAATAACGCACGCACACAAAGTGACAAAAATCATATTAACTCCTATGGCTCTTCATGAGTCCCAGGATGTGTTGGCAATCTTTCAATGCAGCGAGGTTTTGTCAGTCAGACCCCCTCGTTCTTACGAGTCTTGGACCACTGGGTTCTGTTCAAATATAAACAGCGCGCGCCGCGCACCGACGCCGTCGCTCCACCGGCTCAAAATGGTGGACGTCGTTGAAAGAGCGGAAAACGGGGAGCCGCCAAGGTCTGAACTGTCAGAAAGTGTAGCAGTCGACGCTGTTTCTCTCTCTCTCTCTCTTTCTTTCTCTCTCAGTTTCTTCCTCCACCCTCTCTCCTTCCTCTCGCCTGGCTTGTTTAGTTCTTCAGTTATATTGGACTTATTGACACACAAATCAAGTTCTTTGATGGCAGAGTTGAGACTGGTGGTCGTTGTGCGGCCGAGGATTTCTGACATGTTCGTTTGAATTTATAGTGAAAAATTGTTGACGGTGGTTGCGGTGTGTTTGGAGACCCAGCTGTGTTTGTGAAGTCTCCGACTACGGTTGGTTTTTCCTGTGAGGATCCGGGCATTTCCCTCTCGTGTGTTGCTTTTTCATTAATCTGTCTGCTTGTACAAGTGATTTCCGATAATGTTTTTTTATTTTTATTTTTCTTTCTTGTGGTTTTATTTCGTGGAATTTTTTCTCTACTGAATAATTAAAGTAGGCTGTTGTTTGATGAATTGGAATCGAGCAAGCGGCAAAGCGGCTGGATTTGTGTGAAGGGATTCAACACGTGAACGCTCTTCCGCGCACTTTTGGACGTTTGGCCTACCTGTAGTTTGACATAGTTAATTTTATTTTAGCTTGGATGTGATCTGTGGTGATATTTCTTTTTCTTTCAAATGTTGGCGTTTATAGAGTCGAGGTGGGTGCTTTCAGTGCATCTCTGTGAGGTCCTTTTTTTAGGAGGAGAATGATACGATGTTAGAAGTTGGTGAGAGGTTGAAGGGGGGGGGGGTGAGTTCAACCAGGTTAAAAGAGAAGAAAGAGTGAGAGAGAGAGGAAGAAAGAGAAAGAGAGAGAGCGTGTGGGAGAGAGGTAGAGGGAAATAAAAGGAGAGAGATATATGGACAGATAACGTTTGTGAGAGAGACAGAGGGGGCTAGAGGAAAAGAGAAGTAGAAAGAGAAATATAGATAGACGGGAGAGAGAGAGAGAGAGAGAGAGAGAGAGAGAGAGAGAGAGAGAGAGAGAGAGAGAGAGAGAGAGAGAG